GAATCAACGGGAGCAGAAGACACGGTGACATATTGCCTTTTTGATGCATGTGGGCTGCCGTAGCTGCAATGCCTCTTCTGAACTGGATGGCACTAAAGTAGGTTCATAGGTTATGTAGCTGTTACCTGTGAACCAGGTGCGACCTACTGACCATGCTTAGTCTGCTCTGGAGGATCCCACCTGGTATGTTTAAATGCAGACCTGACCTGCTTCCTGACGGAGCAGAAACCCGTTTGGATCCCGGAACCAGAACAAAGTAGCCATGAGCTCATTAATATTTGTGTTTTCATCTCTTTACTCAGACTCTTCTAAACCAACACGAACGTGTCATCTTCCTGTGGAAGTGATTTATAATCCCAGCGCTCCGATCATCAGGACAGACTTTCCTTTTCCCGCCTCTTCTTGGTCTCTGAGGAGGTTTTTATCTCCAGCGTGACTCATTAGTCTCGTCATCCATCATCAGGAATTCTTGCCTGCAGATGAATTATTACCTTCATTTATCAGCAAACCAGACTTTAAATAAAAACAACCAGCCTCGTTTTCCCTGAGGAATCATTGATTTCAGTTAAAAGGTGTAAAAATGGGACAGGAAGTGTAGGGAACGAGATCCCTTTAATGAGTTAGTTTAGTTTGGTGTCTCTGGGTGTTTGGCTCCATGACCTCGTGCTGCTTCCTGGGCCGGAAGAACATCTCCAGGTACAGGAGCGTCCATGTCTGATGGTGGGAATCTGGCTCGTCCTGATTGGGTAATGAAACCGTTCCTAGTAAAGATGAAGATTTGCTTGCAGGAAGCAGAACTCCGTTAAAGAAGAGAGTCGGAACCGGAGGCTTCGCCTGGATCTCCGGAGATAAACTCAGAGAAATCTGCGGAGGTCAGATCGGACCTTCCTGTGTTTGCAGCTCAGCTGAGTGCCGCTCCTCACCAGATTCACCAGAAGGAAACCCACACCTTCTCTCCTAAACTCGCAGATGTATGAGGACTCAGACTAAAGAGGAACAGCTCTGTGATTTATGAGAAATAAAACGTGCGTGGCAGAAATCTGACAAAACCAGAAAATGAGTGTTTTGGGGTCACCACTGGTCCTGATGCAGCTCCAGTCTCCATCGCCGCTCTCTGGCCTCCAGGCTGCAGCTGAATGTTGTAGTGAAGACATGAAGAGCCGAGGCGACTGTAACGTTACACCAACAGTTAGTTTGACCTCTGACCTCTCTAGGTCTGGAGTCCTGCAGGAATCCATCTCTTCTGTGGGAAAAGCTGCTGCTGCAAACATCCTGAGAGTTTCTGTTTATTTAACTGCTTCACCAGGAGCAGCTTCCTGGTCATCAGGACAACAGATGCTGGAAACATCTGGACACGACAGAGAGGACGGAGATCCAACACTTCCTGGTGTGGTGATGTTTTCACCTGGTGGGGCCAAAGCTGTCCTGCTTCTCCTGGGTCCGGCTGCTTTCAGGTGAGACGGGTTCAGACAGGAGACCAGAACCAAGCAACCAGAACAGAAACCCGACTCCTGAACCTTTAGATACTCAAGTCTCACTCAGAATGGAAAAGTCGTCCTCCACAGTGGAGACAAACTCCTGTAGAGTTTTATCTGGCCAACTTTGGGCTCGTCTCTCTCTCCGTATCCATCCCTGTCTCTGTCTCCGTATCTGTCTCCGTATCTGTCTCCGTATCTGTCTCCGTATCTGTCTCTGTCTGTATCCACCCATGTCTCTGTCTCTGTCTCCGTATCTGTCTCCGTATCCGTCCCTGTCTCCGTATCCGTCCCTGTCTCCATATCTGTCCCTGTCTCTGTGTCCATTCCTGTCTCTGTCTCCGTATCTGTCTCTGTCTGTATCCACCCATGTCTCTGTCTCTGTATCCATCCCTGTCTCTCTCTCCATATCCTTCCCTGTCTCTGTCTCCGTATCTGTCTCCGTATCTGTCCCTGTCTCCATATCCGTCCCTGTCTCCATATCCGTCCCTGTCTCTGTCTCTGTCTCCGTATCTGTCTCTGTCTGTATCCACCCATGTCTCTGTCTCTGTATCCATCCCTGTCTCTGTCTCCGTATCTGTCTCCGTATCCGTCCCTGTCTCCATATCCGTCCCTGTCTCTGTCTCTGTCTCCGTATCCGTCCCTGTCTCCATATCCATCCATGTCTCTGTCTCTGTATCCGTCTCTGTCTCCGTCCCTGTCTCCATATCCGTCCCTGTCTCTGTCTCTGTTTCCGTATCTGCCTCTGCCTGCAGGATATGTCCTTTGCTGTTTCCTCTCTAACTTTTCCTCCTCCTACCATTAAAGTGATTGAATACCGGCTGTCGTCTGCTCTCAGGAATAACACAGACCAGTTCTCCCAGCTTCTCCAGTGGCTGCTGGAACAATCAGACATCAGCAGAGCGGTTGCAGATGATTCCACTGGTTCCAGTCCAGGAAGCCTTTCTGCTGGATCCAGTTCCCTCTTCATTTCCACAGAAGTGAGATAACATCTGGAGCTACATTTAGAAATCTGACCTGAGAGCCTCTTTTCCTGGTTGGAGACCTGGCTGTGGTCTCCATGAGCTCAGACCAGGAGCACTGGGAAGTGCTAATCAGTAACCATGGTAACCTCATGGACCGACTGCCATTGTGAGTTACAAACACACAATCCTAACATGAAAGACTTCCTAGTTGACTCAGATCATTGGATTCCTGGAATGATTGCATCTTGAAGACAGAGTGGGAATCTACAAACTGATCTGCTGTCAGAGCGACAGGCAGAATTTTAATCTCCTCTCTAATCTGAAGCCTCGACACTTTCAACAAGCGTAGTTTGTCCTGAAACACGAAGCAGCAGGACGGAAAACTAAGATCAGGATGTGAAATCCTGATTTCCTATTTAGGATTCCCAGGATTAAAATACACATCAGAACAAAGAGATTAGGAGTAAATAAAGGAGGAACAAGACCAAAGTTACAAGCACACATCTGAAGGTTCTGATGCTCTCGTCTCCCACCTGAGGGATGAGCAAGGTCATTTCTGATGTTCTGTGGTCCTGATGGTCAGTACGTTCCCTCCTACGTTCCTCTGTGTAGCAGAAGCCATCCCACACAGTTATGCAGGAGAACATGACCATCATCACACTCTTGGAGAAGGACCACAGGACCAGAGCTCCAAGTCCAGGGAACCCCAGCCCCCTCAGGGGAACTGGCCCTGGAGGGCCTTCTTCTGGCTCCAGCTGAGGTTTAGATCCTGGTTCTTGAGTTGGGTTAGACCTTTATGGAAGTGGAAGACGATGGAGAAGACAGGAGCAAAAGCCCAAGACTTGTGGAGCAAGGGCAACGTGGATCTTCTGTAAGAAGCCCATGATGAACAGGAGTCCACTTAGAGGTGGGGCTATGACATCATCCAGGTCAAAGGGATGTGCGTTGAGTTCACATGAAAGCAGGATCAGGTTCTCCTGAAACGGTTTTAGAGGAAGTGGGCCGGTCCAGAACCAGAACCAATCCTTATCAGCAGGACTCTGGTGAACGCTGCAGAACATTCCCCCGGCCTTCATTCAAATCCACTCCTTTCATGAATGTTAATGAAGCTGGAGCGGGATTAATGAGCGGCTGGACTTATCTGCTCTCCTGAAACAGAATTCATAAATGGAGGAAGAAACACTTCCCAGGTAAATTCCTCTGGAATCTGCTCCAAACCGTTCTCTGATAAAACCTCCGTCTGATCGGATGCTGGGAGCGCCATTTTCCCACCGGGTCTTTGTTGTTGTTGGAAAAGATGAAGGAAAGACGCCAGGCTGAGCTGCATGGAGTCGGCAGAGCGGGAACGCCTCCACACGGAGCTGTTGTAGCAACAAGGACTGGTGTCTGAGATGTTTGAAACTGTTTGGTGGAGCGGGAATCAGGAGGAGCCAGACGGATTCTGTTCCCTGTTGGGATTTTCCATGTTGATCCCAGATTAGTAACAGCTTCACCTGCACCGGCTCAGATGTTCTGATCTTCATCTGTGACCTCACCGTGCCGTTTCTTAGTTCTAGGATCCGATCCTCTAAATCTCTCACCACCTTCTCCTGTAAAATTCCCAGTTTGGGTTCCTGCTCTGAGCTCCACATTGCTGCTGGTGTTTATAATTCCAGATGAGGTCACCATGTTCACATCTGGAACACATTCCCGCTGACTGCAGAGCTGCAGGGTTAGGAAAACACAGTAAGTGGGTCGGTTTGGAGCACCATGCTGTTGTGACTCTACGTGATGGGGTGCGGGTTTCAGAGTAAAAGCTGTAAAGTCAAAATAAACCATCTGATTTTCTTTTCCAGAGTAGAATCAAAATTAGGAAAAGTCAAAATAGTTTTTCAGAATAAAGGCTAAGACCAACATTATCCATAATGTCTTAAAGGACTTGAGCTGAGACGTCCTAACCTGCAGCAGCTCCACCTGAGAACAAACATACCTAATGCCTACATGTCGATGTCTAATGCTCAGGATCTTCGGGGTGGGGGGTGGGGGTGGGGTGGGGGGTTACGTCTGCATCTTCAGACCTTTACTTTGAATGATTGAGGAAGAATTTTCTTTTAGTTTGAAGCTCCAGACTCAAGAACACGAAACCACACATCATGAGAACATTTGGTTTTATTTTTGTCCAACCGTAGCTAGCTCGGCTCCCCCAGCTTTTCCAGCCTTTAGCAGGCGGGGGCCAGGGATCGGGGGGGCTTTTCTAACCCACAGCTTTCAGAGACAAACACAGAAAAACCAACATAACCATAATTATTATCAAGAAGTTATTTATAACAAACATGCTAACTAGCATGTGGCCAAGTGCAGCTAAAGCTAACACCAGCAGCATTCCCGGGATCTGTTGCCAAGAATAAAAAGATGCTTTTGGTCCAAAAACAGACACCTTGAAGAGGTTATTTAGCAGGACAGGAGCTTTACATCGTACCTGCAGGCTCCGTAGGAAAGCTCAACACCTGCAGGTTTGAAAGGAGTTCATCTGTGGAAGAACTCCAGAGCCGCGACTGCTGTTATGCTAAGCTAGGCTAACGTTCCTTTGTGCTGAATGTAAACTTATTAAACACCTTTAATAGGTTTAAAATATTTTATGTATTTTGACGTGTTTGAACTTAACTTTAGCTTCTATTTATTGGCAGAACTGATTGGATTACACAGCTTCACAAGTCCTCAGTTCTGTCCATCATAATCCACAACAATACATAATACCCCCACCCCCATGTAGTCCAGCTCTAAATGATCTACTATCAGAAACTAAAAGAACAAAATAAAAGACATAATAAAAGCTGAAAGCAGCCGTAGAGACCGCGGGTCACTTATTCACTTATCTTTAATGTTTTCACTTTATTACTTTATTCTTGCAGCTTTTTAGAGCCAGAAAAGTTTTTTTTTCCTGTAAAAGCAAGAATGACCTTAAATCTGACTGAGACCAGCACCAGAACTTAGTAACGACACAAATAACCTACAAATCAATGACCAGAAGTCCAGCTGCTGCCAATCACTTCTACAGTTGCCGTGGTTACCTCTGCTGGGCGGGGCTTAGGCGTTGCAGCAGAGGAATGGGGTCTCTGTTCTGGCTCAAAGTTAAAAAGTTTGATCAGAAGATCAGATCTGGAAGGATCCACATTCCTCTGAGGAGTCAAATGAATAATTAACACAACCAGGAGATCCAATGGTTCACCAACAGGCCACCAGGGGGATGTTTGGTTCTTTGGTTTTGTAGCTCAACATTAGGATTGTTTCTGCAAGACCACATGAGCTGCTGTTCCCCGTCAGCACTAGTCTGAAGAAGATTTGTTTTGTTTAAAAGATCCAGAAAGTTCCTTAAATCTCCCAGATTTCCTTAACAGATTTGAATGGAAACCTAAAGAACACACATCAGCTAGCAGAGGAGAAGTTTCTTCATGGCCCGTCCTTTACCGTGGATCATCAGTCATGTGACCAGTTTAGTCCTCGTTAAGCTTCTCAGGAGGCTTCATGAAGGTCACTGCTGGGTTCTCTTCACTTGTTCAGAAGTTCAACGCACTATGGATGTGGTTCTTCCCTTCAGTGATTCCTTCTCTTTCTCCAAAAGCCACTTCCTCCTGGAGGAGGTGGTTCAGGATGTTGAGAAGACGTTGGTGTACTCTTTGACCTACTCCTCCATGAGCCTTGGCCTCATCCACACCTCCATCTGTTTCTGAGCAGTCCTGCATGGCTCGCTGCAGCTCGACCTGGTCGAGAGGAAAAGTAACGGAGACAAAAATGGGCTCGAGAAGAGTTCCCTGATGAACTCCACAAGTGATTAAAGCATCAGAAAAATCAGTGGTTTGCTCTAAAAGATTTAGACCTTCACCATAAACCTGGTTCTTCAGATGGAGACGAACACAAGAATCCACCTGAAAGCAGCGCTGAGGTCCAGGAGAACCAGGACCTGAACCAGCTCAACTCTCTTGTCTGAGAAAAACTAAACCAGGAAGTGTTTCCCTTTTCCTTCTCTCATCTAGAGGTGAAACGTTCACCTTCCTCTTTCATTTTCATCTACTCTTCTCTAGTTAGTTTTTTCAGGTTTTTGGTGATTTGGGCGAGCAGTACCTGCAGAGGGAGTCCCGCTTTGGCCCCAAGGAGCGTGGGAGAAAACCATGGCCTGAAGATCTTCTCACAAATGACCTGCAGAGAAGAACAGGTGAACGAAGAGCAGAATATGAGATGAAGGAAGAGTGGAAATGGCTAGGAGTCAGACATGTTTGAGAAGTTGTGGAATTAAAGGAAGAAATAAGGAATTATTGTGGGATTGATGGGAAAAGCAACAATTAAAAGAAAGGATGAAAAGAGTCATTGGTCAGTTTGTTTCTATGCAGACGACGCATTCATTTCTATCAACAAACACTTTGTTCAGGAGACAAAGACTTCTTTCTCCAATAAGATGATTGACAGGTGGGAGGGGTCATCACAGGTCAACCTGAGGAGACACCTGGAGCCTCTGATCAGCCAATAGGAGAGCAGCATGTCACTGGCTTGTCAGCTGGTAGCTCTCCTCTTCTCGCTCCTTTTGTTCCTTTGTTTAGAAACGTCACATTTGAATGCTTTTTCCTTTGAGTTATTTCTGTTTTCTCTTTGCTTTCTTGTGTTTTGTTTTCATTTCTTCACCTTGTCCTATTTTTAGTTTTTATTTTCATCTTTTTTCTCCTAATTCTCTTTTTTATTTTACATAATTCAAACCGACATCAAACACCTGCTTTGTTCACCTGTGGACTCGGTCTCCCTCCGTCTCAGATTCACACGTTCACCTCCAACGGCTGCAGGTTTCTGGTATCATGAGACATGTGATACGGTACCCGGCAGGTGATGAGAGTCCAACTGCTCGTTGTCACGGAGACTAAGGTGATGACGGCTCCGGGTTGGTCTCTATGGGCCGAGGCCTCGACACGGCCTCACGGCGTTTCGTTTCAACTTTTGGTTTCATCAAAAATATTAAAACTAATAATCATAAAATACGATTAATACTTTCAGCAAAGTCATTGCCAGTTTTTTTTATTTAAACTTGCAAAGGACTAATGCTGAATAAATGACAGTTATTTTATTTATAATAATTCAGGTAATATGTAAAATAAAACCTAAAGTTTATTATTTGTTGATAATATGAAATTTTATTGAATTACAAATCAGTCTGAATTAGGAAATAAGATTTATTGAATAATACTAAATAATACAATGAAAAGTTCAAATATATGATTAAAAAATTAAAACACTTGTTCTAATTGCTATATGGAAACTTTATAATATAACGACAACATTATTATTATTGTTATTAGCAGTTTTCCTTTATAAGTTCATCTTTGTTCTTTTTTATGATATTTTTGTTTTGTTTTTAGAGGAATTGTCCTTTTTGTAATTTAGAAGCTTGGTTTATTAATATCATCAGAATAAAACTATCAACTATAAAAATATGTAGAAAACTTAAATAGTAAAAAAAATTCTGATAATAAAATTAATAATTTCTCATTGATATTTATTAAATATTGATTATTATTTAATGGGTGTTGTTTTTTCTTTTCTTTTACAACTATAAGCAAATATTTGAACTCATAAATATTTCTTAATTCATTTATTAGGGTTTGATTTCACCCGGGTCCTGAATAAATTATTGAAAATTTCAGATAATTCACCAAAATGAAATAAAAAAAATCTTTTTATTCATCAGTTGAAACTGAAAATGAAACAAATTAAATGTCTGAAATGTATTTATTACAAACAGACGTCGTTTTTCTGATGTCATGAAACCAGACTGAAGTAAGTACGTTAGAAGATATTTATTATTCCCGTCTGCTGGCCAAAGTCATTCCCTCTCAGATACAAACGCGTTTAAAATTCCTCCAGATGCTTTTGCTGCAGACGGATGATTAAACGTTGTGAAAGAGCGACTAGATTACCCAGAATCCTTCAGTAGAAACTGCCTCAGATTTATGTTTGAATGGGAGGAAGAGGACGTTCTTCAGAAAAGAAAATCATCTATGAAACCAATAATAATAATAATATGTTTGTATTTATTTAGTTGTTGCTATTGTAAGGTGGCCACTTTAAAAGGGGCCCCTCTGGAGCAGGTAAAGTCTGTGGTTCTGACCTGCAGGTTGCTGTTCCGACGTCGCGGGCTGCACCTGCGTCGGACCGGGTCACACCTGGACGAGCAGTCAAAGAAGTTACAGTCGTCATCGCTGCTGCAGTTCTGCTCCAGGATGTCTCTCATCTTGGGCTCAAAGAAAGCCATGTCCACATCGATGGCCACCACCTGGAGATCCGAGGACCAGAACATCAGACCAGAACCGGGTCAGAACCATTTGTTTCAGTTAGAATAAAATGTTGGAAAACTCAGGAGGAAAGTTGTATTTTATACATAAAAAATGTATTATTATTATTGTTGTTGTTATTGTTAATATAAATATAATAATAACAACAATAATTATTATTATTATCATTCATAAAAATATTATAATAATAATTGTTGTTAATATTATTGTTATTAATATAATAATAATTAATACAATTACTGATATTATAAATGTGACAATAATAATTATAATTAATAATAATAAAAATGTCATAATAATAATAATTGTTATTGTTAATATTATTGTTATTATGAAAATTGATATTATTATAAATATGACAATAATAATATTATAATTATAATAATAATATTATTATTAATATGGTTGACTGATGATGGGAATTTAATATAAGGTGTAAATTCTCAGACCTGATGTCTTATTTAAAGGTAACCATATATTTTCTTTTTATTGTTTTATTTGAATTTTTATGTGTAAACATTTAATTTTGTTGTGTTTGTTTCAAAATTAAAAATAAAACCATAAACAAACTAAAAAGTTTTACAGAACAATATTACCGTGGTGGAGGGGTTTGAGTGTCTCAGTGGTCCTAGGAGCTAAGTTATCTGAGGCTTTCTGCCTCTGATAGGGTCACCCATGGTCCTAGGTGAGGGATCAGACAAAGAGCAGCCCGAAGACCTCTTATGATGAATTATATAAATGGAAACTGTGTTCCCTTGCCTGGACGTGGGTCACCGGGGCCCCCCTCTGGAGCCAGGCCTGGTGGTGGGGCACGTTGGCGAGCGCCTGGTGGCCGGGCTTTCACCCATGGAGCCCGGTCGGGCACAGCCCGAAGAGGAAACGTGGGTCCCCCTTCCCATGGGCTTACCACTCGTGGGAGGGGCCAAAGGGGTCGGGTGCAGTGTGTGAGGGCGGGGCGGGTGGTGGTCGAGGGCAGGGACCTTGGCGGTCTGATCCTCGGCTACAGAAGCTGGCTCTTGGCACATGGAATGTCACCTCTCTGGTGGGGAAGGAGCCTGAGTTGGTGTGTGAGGTTGAGAGGTTCCGACTAGATATAGTCAGGCTCACCTCAACGCATGGCTCTGGCTCTGGATCCAGTTTCCTTGAGAGGGTTTTTTTGAGGTCTGGGTTCTTCTACAGGAGACCCTGAACTCACCGTCAGGTCTGGGTTCTTCTAGAGGAGACCCTGAACTCACCGTCAGGTCTGCACTGTTAGACTTTACCTATCCACTTTACGGTAATAAACTGGCAACACTGTTGCCAGCATGATACCGTGATGCATGGTTAACGGTAACTTACCACTTAGTGTTGATCCCAGAATTATACCGTATATTATATTTTTGTAAAAAACCCTCTGACTGCATGCCGGTGAGATACTGGCAACACTGTTGCCAGTATCTCACCGGCAACAGTGTTGCCAGTAAAATACCGTAATATATTTCACAAGAAAATTACATCAATAACGCAACATTATACCGTGATTAATAAATATGTGTTGTGCTGTATGTTTATGGTATGTTACCGTAAACTCATTTCAAGGTATGCTGCAATACCTTTTCCAGTGATTTACCGTAAACATACACTTTTGCTACTGAGAATAGTCAACGCTGTCAGAGGTTACTGTGTTTTTGTGGGCAGTAATTTACCTTTTTCATGTCATATTTTACTAAGATACGAGTAAACGGTAACATACTGTAATAAAATAAAAGGCTCCCAAAATAAAAGGTTTATACTTGTGCGTGCACACACACACACCTGCACACTTGTTTGTGTAATAGTTGGATATATTTAAGATCAAGATGTAAACAAAATGCACTGGATTATCTTTTTTTATTTGATTGCTTCCATTAAAACAGAAAAACATACCAATATCCGGTAAAAGTCTCTTCAATAAAATGCTTTGTAGTTTAACATCCAGAATGGTATAGTGAGAAGAAATTGGCAACTGATGGTCATAATGTAAAAAAGAAATGAATCAGTGACCCGTGTGACCTACAGCTGATAAATAGCCAGATGTATACAAAATGTATACAAACCTTTCTTAAATGCAAGTAGTAGTTTACGTATTTGAATTGGTGTAAGAAAATGTTTGAGATCATCTGCCTCTACTAACAGAAGGTCACTTTTTTGTTGGACACCAATGACATCTTTCAGGTGGTCTGCAAAGGACAGTACTTTCTGTCTCTCCAATTCTGGCAGGATGCATGTGATTTCATCTTCAATTTCCATCACTGAAATATAAGGGGAAAAAATCGTGAAGAAACTGAATGGTGCAGGGAGACAACAAAAAGATCTGCCATGTTATAAAGGGGTATTGGATAATAATCCATCAGACTGTCAGCATTTACACACAAATTTCTGTCTGTAGGGCAGTGTAGGCAATAAAGTCCAAGGTCAATAAGGCGTACTGACTGATGCAATTCTAGCACAAAGTACAATTTAGAATCATTAACAAGTATCACAACGATCTTCCCAAACTCAGTGCTCTCATCAGTGTAATCTACTACAACAACATGACCTTTGACATATTTGGTACCTTTGTAGACAACTGCTGACACATCTAGCATGTTGTGATTAGAGACATCTGCTTTTGTCACAGCATCCTGAGTGGCAGAGTTGTAAAGATGATGTCTATAATCATTTGCTTCTCCAATTATTTGAATTGTAGGTGGAAATATTTGCCCTGCCAAGAGGTAGGACTGCAGTAGCTGATGCCGTTCAGCCAGAGTCTTGCATAAATTGACAAAGTTATGCACATTTCTTGAACAATGTTTGAAATAAGAGTGCTTGCTCTCAAACCTAAGAGTCCATAAATGAATAAGTGGCCCAAAGTGAAGTATAAGCTCTGGATAATGTGATAGGAAGTCATTTTGTGAAAGTTCCTGAATACTATTGTTTATAGATGCTTCAGGTATATCAAATGCAGAAAGTTTATCAAACAGTTTTCCAAGAACATTGTTCACTCCAGAGCTGTGAAGATCTTGGAATTCCTCTATGATGCACTTTATAGTGCTGGCTGGCAAAAGCATTTTAGCTTGCATTTTTAAATAAAACATTGCCAATTGATTTAGAAATGGCTCTTCATTATTTGTAGCATTCTGTAAATGTCTGTCTTCTAAGGTCAGGGTATCTGCAGGTTTAAGGGAGCCAAATTTAAGACTTTTTAAGACCTTTTTTAAGGCCACTTTGACCAAATTTAAGCTATTTTTAAAATTAAATTTAAGCTATAATTTCCAGCTATTGCCTGGAACCGGTGCTAACCACGTCGTGAATGTGGGATTAGCCATCCAGTTACCATTAAACTTGCACTTCCCCATGGCGCAAGCTCCCACTAGCTTAACCAGCTAATGTGCTCATCTAAAAACAGCCCCCTTTCACAACCACCTGAATGTGTACGGTTCCGCTTACGCCAACATCGTACACAAAAAATGCTGAACACCAACTAGAAATTCACAAACATTTTTATAGAAATAAAATAATCTTGTTTATTGGATCTTTGGTAATTTAAGACCTTTGGAAACTGGATTTAAGGATTATTTGTCATTTTTAAGGATTTTCAAGGCCTTAAATTTGGAAAAGCAAATTTAAGACTTTTTAAGACTTTTTAAGGACCCGCGGATACCCTGTAAGGTGTCCTGTCTGTCCTTGTACCATGTTAATGTCACCAATTTCTTGTTGACTTGTCTGTTGAACAGTCTTTGACTGCATGTGTTACCGAGAAATATGACTAGAGAATGATGTTCAAACACTGAAATATTAAGAGCAACCTTTAAATGGGCATATTACTTTTTTTCCATCTTTAATATGGATCCTCAGATGGGCACAAAGAGTTTTAATATTTTGTCCAACATACCCACATCCAGGAACTTGACAGCTAAGATTTCCAGTGAACTTCCAGATCTCCTCCTCAGTGTTCTCCCCTCGTCTATGATTTCTGTGCATATGGGAATGAAAGGCAGTGAATGTTTTAAAAGTGGCTTTACAATTCTCAAGTCCACAAGAAAACATATAGTTTGCATTGTATCTATGGCTTCTAACATGTGAACTGAACAATATAAATTTGTGTGCACGGAATCCACAATATTTACAGAGAAACATTTGAAGTACCCTATATCTTCAATAGTTTCTTTTCCAGGGATAGTTTAAGCAATACAACAAAAATGCATAGAAAACTAAACAGTACCTTAACAGTAGGCTAAATTGTCATAAAAGGCTCAAATATGCCTAAAATGTAACATCCCCTCAAAAAAACGGAAAGTAGTATAGCTTTCACACTGGCCACAAAAAGGAAAATTATTTGACCTCAATATCAGAGTTAAACCTCTCCAACCTGTTCTGCATATCACAGCATGCACTGCCAGCAGCCTTCACCTGCAAACACTTACTGCCAAATTAGCCTGTTTTTTTTTGCTCCTAACTTTATTGAAAACAAATGTCATACACAAGAGAAGTCAAGGAAACAAACTGACTTTGATAACAGTCTCCATTACAGAAAATGTGAAGCAAATCCTTTTACCTTTGAAAAGAAAAAAAGAAAAAGAAAAAATGATCAAGAGCAAAACAATAAGTAGCAGAAACATTTTGGCACAAGCAGTTTTCTTATTCATATCTGAGATGTGCTTGAGTGACTAAAAATATAGGGAAAAGTAATTCAAGAAAATGATAAACAGAGAACTGTTTTTTCAATTACATGAATAAATAAATTATTTACATAGAATATTTACAAAAAGAAAACATCAGATATTTTAGAATCTGGATTGTCCATGAGGTAAAGAACATCATTAAATATTATATGTTTTAAGTTAAATCTAGCTTTGGCTATCAGTCCAAAATACAAGCACATGCTGACAATTGAAAAAATAGATTATGCATTGTTTGTAGATCCTAACAAATTTGGTTTTAAGCATCACATTACTTTGCATGGGTAGCAGCTGAAAATTAATCACCTTGTTTGTCAGTTTTTAAAACACTCGGGTAACTTCAATAAGGTGTTTACACATATATGGACAGGGACCATTTTGCAGAATTTGCATGAAGATCACAGCTATAGCTAGTTTAAAAGCCAAAACATGCAGTAAAATACTTACCAGACTGACCAACTCCCCTGTAATGGGTCACATTCGGGATACGTGTTTGGAAAATGTTTTTATTTCTTCTTTTCCTCAAAGTGCAAGACAACGATCATATATTGTGTTTCCAATGTTGTTGTTTTGAAAGCAAATATCCAGGTTGTATCAGGTGAAAGTGATGAATTATTTTTCACTTATCTAATTCTGGGAAACCCAACAACATAAAACATACCTAGGGGTGGAAAATACCTTTGATGAGTTCGTCCTTGGCCCATTTCCTTAAGATTCCATCTATAGCTGTCTGAATTTTTTGTTACATCTATAGTGAACACAATAGATGGACAACAGCATAATTTTGGTGGCTGTAATTATCCTATAATATTGCTATGAAAACATGCAAAAAAACAACTGATGGAATTTTGAAATGATCAATATTTTATGGAATATTTTAAATAAAATTTCTTACAAGTATAAAGTCGTAAACTGGTATCATGTCAGTTTTTTGATAAAATTCTGTAAACATTTATCAGTTTAAATCGCCCACCAGGCAGATGTCATTTAGGCAGTAGGACTAATAGTATAGCTTAAATATGATTTTATCAATCTGAGATGATTTTTTTATTTACAATGTAGGCTTGGTTAAAGCATCCCATCTTTTTTTATATTATAATTAAAATATTTTAAAACAGATTTTAGTGAGTGTTTACATACTGTATGCTTTTATAATAGCTCAATTAAAACATTTATTCTTGGAGCATTTTCTCTTTACTATGGGGCATAGTGTTTTTTCATTGGTGATCTCACAAAGAATTGTTTTGGTAATGCACTCTGAATGAAGATTTGAGCAAGGTGTTTTAAAATGTCCACTGAAAAACCACAGACAGAAAAATGTCAGAGGTATACCAAATTTTTATGTTTGCTGTACTTTACCTGTTTTCTTTAAAACAGTGACATACCATGAAAAATATGTGATGTTGTTGAATTTACTCACCATTACATGCCAAATACAGTACTACACTGCAAAGATTTTAGCTGTATTTTACTGTTGATTTTACAGTAATATACTATAGGAATGACAGCACAGTCTAACAGTGCATGGAAATTACAGTACTACACTGCAAACACTTTTAGAGGTATTTTACTGTTGATTTTACAGTAATATACTATAGGAATGACAGCACAGTCTAACAGCGCATGGAAATTACAGTACTACACTGCAAACACTTTTAGAGGTATTTTACTGTTGATTTTACAGTAATATACTAGCAAATGCCAGCAAAGTCTAACAGTGTGGGTTCTAGAGGAGACCCTGAACTCACCGTCAGGTCTGGGTTCTAGAGGAGACTCTGAACTCACCGTCAGGTCTGGGTTCTTCTAGAGGAGACCCTGAACTCACGTCAGGTCTGGGTTCTAGAGGAGACCCTGAACTCACCGTCAGGTCTGGGTTCTTCTAGAGGAGACCCTGAACTCACGTCAGGTCTGGGTTCTAGAGGAGACCCTGAACTCACCGTCAGGTCTGGGTTCTTCTAGAGGAGACTCTGAACTCACCGTCAGGTCTGGGTTCTTCTAGAGGAGACCCTGAACTCACCGTCAGGTCTGGATTCTTCTAGAGGAGACCCTGAACTCACGTCAGGTCTGGGTTCTAGAGGAGACCCTGAACTCACCGTCAGGTCTGGGTTCTTCTAGAGGAGACTCTGAACTCACCGTCAGGTCTGGGTTCTAGAGGAGACCCTGAACTCACCGTCAGGTCTGGGTTCTTCTAGAGGAGACCCTGAACTCACATCAGGTCTGGGTTCTAGAGGAGACCCTGAACTCACCGTCAGGTCTGGGTTCTTCTAGAGGAGACTCTGAACTCACCGTCAGGTCTGGGTTCTAGAGGAGACTCTGAACTCACCGTCAGGTCTGGGTTCTTCTAGAGAAGACCCTGAACTCACGTCAGGTCTGGGTTCTAGAGGAGACTCTGAACTCACCTTCAGGTCTGGGTTCTTCTAGGGGAGACCCTGAACCTACGTCAGGTCTGGGTTCTTCTAGGGGAGACCCTGAACTCATGTCAGGTCTGGGTTCTTCTAGAGGAGACCCTAAACTCACCGTCAGGTCTGGGTTCTTCTAGAGGAGACCCTGAACTCACGTCAGGTCTGGGTTCTAGAGGAGACCCTGAACTCACGTCAGGTCTGGGTTCTTCTAGAGGAGACCCTGAACTCACCGTCAGGTCTGGGTTTTTCTAGAGGAGACCCTGAACTCACCGTCAGGTCTGGGTTCTTCTAGAGGAGACCCTGAACTCACGTCAGGTCTGGGTTCTTCTAGAGGAGACCCTAAACTCACCGTCAGGTCTGGGTTCTAGAGGAGACCCTAAACTCACCGTCAGGTCTGGGTTCTTCTAGAGGAGACCCTAAACTCACCGTCAGGTCTGGGTTCTTCTAGAGGAGACCCTGAACTCACGTCAGGTCTGGGTTCTTCTAGAGGAGACCCTAAACTCACCGTCAGGTCTGGGTTTTTCTAGAGGAGACCCTGAACTCACGTCAGGTCTGGGTTCTAGAGGAGACCCTGAACTCACGTCAGGTCTGGGTTCTATAGGAGACCCTGAACTCACGTCAGGTCTGGGTTCTTCTAGAGGAGACCCTGAACTCACGTCAGGTCTGGGTTCTATAGGAGACCCTGAACTCACCGTCAGGTCTGGGTTCTATAGGAGACCCTGAACTCACCGTCAGGTCTGGGTTCTATAGGAGACCCTGAACTCACCGTCAGGTCCTTCCTGATTGCAAAGTTCTCTGGTTTGATGTCACAGAGGTGCAGTTTGTGGTTGAAGTCATTGTCGAAGTGCCAGACCAGGTCTAGGAAGCTGAGAGCGATCCGGTGCACCATCTCCCTGGTGCTCCACCTCCCCCGGGCCCCGGCTCCATCCTGAGCTTGAAGACCAGGAACATCCACTTCATCTAGGGAGAAGATGTTCTGATTCCAGGCGTGTCCTGCTGTCAGGTACTCCACAGCATAAAAGTGACCACAGGAACCCAGAACCTTGGCCACATGGGGGCTGAGGTCCTGCAGAACCCTGAGGAGCAGAAGGAACATCAGATTCTGTCTGGTTAAATCAGGAGAAACATCTAGTCAGAGAGCTTCAGAAGGCCCTGGATGACCAAACAGATGTGTTTTTAAATTGTTTGTAAACAGATGTTCTCCTGGATAGAAGGTGTTCGCCAGCAGGAGGTGTTAAGGTGCTCTCCTCATACAGGAGGTGCTGGACTGTCAGCATTTACCTGAGGAAGGTGTACTCCTCCTGCTGGAGGAGAGACCAGAGGGAGGCCAGCTCTGCTCTGGAGTAACTCTTCTCTCTGATCTTCAGCTTCTTCCCCCAGAGTTTGGACAGAGAGCCATTGTTTGCTCCTCCTTCTTCATCCTCAGCATCTTCAGAAAGTCCCAGTGAGTTTCGGACCTGTGGGGAGAGGAGGTGAAGCTGGTCAGAAGCTCAAGTTCCGATTCATGATGTGATGAAACTCACCTCCATGGTGGCGTAGAAGACCACATCCAGAGGAGACAGGTCTTCTGCTGCATCCTGCTGAGAACAACAGAGGAACTGATTAACTTCTCTAACGTTCTCCGATGGACCCATGGTCCAGCGTTCACCTGGTAGTCCAGGATCCCCAGGGGCTCGTAGGAGGAGAAGTTCTCTAGTTTGGACTTGAGGATGACCGGGTTTCCTCTCCACCGAGCCTCCACCACCTTCTTCCCGTTCTCGTAGTAAAGACAGCGCTTGTACTCCACCAGACCCAGAACACACAGGTCCTCACACATGTCCCCGGAGACAGAACCGTCACCGAAGTCCAGACACTAGGAGGACAGACAGGAACACGGTTACAGGGCTGGGCCTGAAGACAGGTGTGGGGTTCTACAGACAGGTACACGGTTCGACAGACCGGTGTGGGGTTCTACAGACAGGTGTGGGGTTCTACAGACAGGTAAACGGTTCTACAGACAGGTGTGGGGTTCTACAGACAGGTGTAGGGTTCTACAGACAGGCAAACGGTTCTACAGACAGGTGTGGGGTTCTACAGACAGGTGTGGGGTTCTACAGACAGGTAAATGGTTCTACAGACAGGTGTAGGGTTCTACAGACAGGTAAACGGTTCTACAGACAGGTGTGGGGTTCTACAGACAGGTGTGGGTTTCTACAGACAGGTACACGGTTCTACAGACAGGTGTGGGGTTCTACAGACAGGTACACGGTTCTACAGACTGGTGTGGGGTTCTACAGACAGGTGTGGGGTTCTACAGACAGGTACACGGTTCTACAGACAGGTGTGGGGTTCTACAGACAGGTGTGGGGTTCTACAGACAGGTAAATGGTTCTACAGACAGGTGTAGGGTTCTACAGACAGGTAAACGGTTCTACAGACAGGTGTGGGGTTCTACAGACAGGTGTGGGTTTCTACAGACAGGTACACGGTTCTACAGACAGGTGTGGGGTTCTACAGACAGATAAACGGTTCTACAGACAGGTAAAGGGTTCTACAGACAGGTAAACGGTTCTACAGACAGGTGTGGGGTTCTACAGACAGGCAAACGGTTCTACAGACAGGTGTGGGGTTCTACAGACAGGTGTGGGGTTCTACAGACAGGTAAACGGTTCTACAGACAGGTGTAGGGTTCTACAGACAGGTAAACGGTTCTACAGACAGGTGTGGGGTTCTACAGACAGGTGTGGGTTTCTACAGACAGGTACACGGTTCTACAGACAGGTGTGGGGTTCTACAGACAGGTGTAGGGTTCTACAGACAGGTGTGGGGTTCTACAGACAGGTACACGGTTCTACAGACAGGTGTGGGGTTCTACAGACAGATAAACGGTTCTACAGACAGGTAAAGGGTTCTACAGACAGGTAAACGGTTCTACAGACAGGTGTAGGGTTCTACAGACAGGTAAATGGTTCTACAGACAGGTGTAGGGTTCTACAGACAGGTGTAGGGTTCTACAGACAGATAAACAGTTCTACAGACAGGTGTAGGGTTCTACAGACAGGTGTAGGGTTCTACAGACAGGTAAACAGTTCTACAGACAGGTAAACGGTTCTACAGACAGGTGTAGGGTTCTACAGACAGGTGTAGGGTTCTACAGACAGGTAAACAGTTCTACAGACAGGTAAATGGTTCTACAGACAGGTGTGGGGTTCTACAGACAGGTGTGGGGTTCTACAGACAGGTAAATGGTTCTACAGACAGGTGTAGGGTTCTACAGACAGGTACACGGTTCTACAGACAGGTAAACGGTTCTACAGACAGGTAAATGGTTCTACAGACAGGTGTAGGGTTCTACAGACAGGTAAATGGTTCTACAGACAGGTGTAGGGTTCTACAGACAGGTAAATGGTTCTACAGACAGGTGTAGGGTTCTACAGACAGGTAAATGGTTCTACAGACAGGTGTAGGGTTCTACAGACAGGTGTAGGGTTCTACAGACAGGTAAACAGTTCTACAGACAGGTAAACGGTTCTACAGACAGGTGTGGGGTTCTACATACAGGTGTAGGGTTCTACAGACAGGTAAATGGTTCTACAGAAAGGTTTAGGGTTCTACAGACAGGTGTAGGGTTCTACAGACAGGTAAACGGTTCTACAGACAGGTTTAGGGTTCTACAAACAAGTTTAGGGTTCTACAGACAGGTAAAGGGTTCTACAGACAGGTGTAGGGTTCTACAGACAGGTTTAGGGTTCTACAGACAGGTAAATGGTTCTACAGACAGGTGTAGGGTTCTACAGACAGGTAAACAGTTCTACAGACAGGTGTAGGGTTCTACAGACAGGTAAACAGTTCTACAGACAGGTAAAGGGTTCTACAGACAGGTGTAGGGTTCTACAGACAGGTAAATGGTTCTACAGACAGGTGTAGGGTTCTACAGACAGGTAAACAGTTCTACAGACAGGTAAAGGGTTCTACAGACAGGTGTAGGGTTCTACAAACAGGTTTAGGGTTCTACAGACAGGTAAACGGTTCTACAAACAGGTTTAGGGTTCTACAGACAGGTAAACAGTTCTACAGACAGGTGTAGGGTTCTACAGACAGGTTTAGGGTTCTACAGACAGGTTTAGGGTTCTACAGACAGGTTTAGGGTTCTACAGACAGGTGTAGGGTTCTACAGACAGGTTTAGGGTTCTACAGACAGGTTTAGGGTTCTACAGACAGGTGTAGGGTTCTACAGATAGGTGTAGGGTTCTACAGACAGGTTTAGGGTTCTACAGACAGGTGTAGGGTTCTGTCAGTTTTTTTGAACCGCTTCACCCATCAGCTGTTTGTTATTCCTTCTCTTTATTTTGACTTCCTGTCTGAATCTAATTTCATTCAGTGTGTAGCGTCACACTTTATAGCGCGACGACAGCAAATTAATTATGACCAATAAGATGTGGTGATTCCATATAAACATGAAATATCAACCTGATTGATGTTTGAATGTTTAATCAGAAGATTCTAGTTACTTTTACTTGTTCAGGGACCATAAACACACTTCGCATTAATGCAGACAGAGTCAGGTATGTAGTTAAAAAGGAGTTTTATTCTTTTCTAAACTAATAATCATACATGACATGATATGAGTAATGAGATGTGATGGAGTGGATATGCAGTGATGGGGTGTGATGTGTGGGTGGTGTGATGTAAGCTAGATGTTTATCAGAATCTTTGTTTCTGAAAGAAATTGTGAAATCTGGGTGTAAAAGAATGTGTTGTCCGCTATAAACTAGAGAGTTGATTATTAATAAAACAGCATCAGACGCGATCTGTTGTGTCTACAAACCCTGGCCGAGACCCCAGCAGATCCGGACTGTCAGAAGTCGGGTGGACCTCACGGCACCTGGAGCCATTAGATTAGCTCCGATACGACCCGTCCAGTCTTGAGATGTCTCCAGGTCACAACAGAAGCTGGAATGCTTGTCTGCGTCCCAAGTGGGTGTGGCTCTTAGGGAGCCGTCTGGCTGTGTCAGCTAGCAGCGTGCAAACGGGTTTGACTGTATGTCAAAAGAGATGTCTCAAGGATGCTTGTTCCGAATTGGCCGGTTCAGAACTCCGCTAGGATCTGAATAAATCGGGAAATAATTCCAGTTTTATTAAACCGCAATGTTATGATTTTTGACCAATCAGAATTTGACACGTTTCTGAGTATTTACCAACATCCCTCAGAAAGCCACGCCCTCCTCAGATACAAAGATGTTTTTAACCTTAATGAGCATCTTATTGTGATGTGTGTGAGTGTAGATAACGATGAACTTGTTAAATCAAACACACACTGATTTGTGACATGAATGGATCGTTCTAAGAACAATATTCATTTCAAATTCATTATTTAAGCACAAATTATTCAAACATTTGATTTAAACATCTTGTTCATCATCACATATTATTTAACTTATAAGCTGTAAAACCTTGTAGGATTCGTGTGGATTCACTTTTATTCAGAGTGAGGAATCCAGCAGTCTGGGCAGAGAACGAAGGGCTTTTGCAGGAGACCTTGACAGTTTATTTTTGTCTGCGTTGAAGAACAATAAGTGAGCAAAAGGTTGATGTGCGTCTGGACCCTCCAGCTGGTGTAACCTTGACTTTGCAGCTCTGGCGTGGATGAAAGGTTGCTGTGTCAATTCCATGGTGAAAATTGACCCTTTTGATACATTACAACTGCTAGGTAGGGAATACACAGGCGAGTGGTTACCACGGTGACCCTGGTGACTCACTGTTTGCAGCATTAACGTTTCTATTCATCTTGGTTCTCTTTACTTTCCACATTTAGTTTCCGATTACTTTATTACAGTTTATCCGTTTTATCTGTTTGCATCTAACACACCTGAGGACGTCTCCTTTCTGCTTCCTGACACATGTCTGCACCTCTGAGCTGTTTGTGTTTCTGCAAAAACCACACACACACACACACACACACACACACACACACACACACACACACACGACTGAGTCCAGAGCCATGAAAGATGAGGATCAGAGATGTTCTCCTTGAGGATTACTCTCATAATCCCAGCTCTGCCCACATTCCAACACAAACATCCATCAGAGAAGAGCTGACACACACACACACACACACACACACACACACACACACATTGTATCACCTGTCAGTGGGGGGTTAGAGTAGTTCTGTCATAAAGAAAGTTTCTGCATCGCAGCAGATTGAGTTTAAATAAATGACTTTCTGTGTTTATCAGATTGTAAAACAACTCCAGGGGCAGGAAGAGAAGCTGACAGGTGAGCACGGGTCAGACAGGTATCAACCTGAGGAGGAGGATCCTGATAAGACCTGATGAGTGATGAAGAGCGCTGCCTCGTCTCCTCATCATCACTCAGAAGGTGAGTTTATAAAACCCGATGCCGTCGCAGTCCTTCTCTGAAAACTAAACGAACGGTTTCAGGAAGCTGCTTCTGCAGTAATAAGAGAGAACTTCCTGTTTCCTTTAAAACTCCTTCACAATAAAATCTTCTCGTTTCATTCTTTACTGTAAGAGTTGGTTTCTGAACTTAAAAGATAAAAATTCTTCACATGAGGGTGTAGTTCTGACCCCACCCCCACCTGGATGGCCTCCCTCAGATAAAAGCTTTTGTTCTTCCCAAACCGGAGGGCGTTGATGGACTCAACAGGTTTTGGAGAAGTGATGAGAGTCAGATGATCCTGGGCTGTTATCATCACTCCTTCTCTTCCTCCTCCTGCTCCTCGTGTCTCTCATCACGATGCTCTTGAACTCTGACCTCCTGGTTTTCAACGATTTAGATAAACGTGACTGAAGCTAACAACACCTTTATCTCTAACACCCCCACCAGCCAATCAGAGCTTTTAGGTTC